GGGAGCGGGGGCGGCGGCGCAGAGCGAGGTCCGCCGGGCGCTGGGAGGGTGTTCCTTGGCGTTGTGGTCCGAAAGCTGCTGAGAAGGTTTTTGTTGTTGGAAAAGGGGCGCAGACGCCGTCAGAGAGGAGAGAGCGCGAAGATCTTCATGCGGGCGGCAGAGAAACGGCGCCCGTGACGCGCTGCCCGGGGTGGTGACGCTCCTCGGCCCGCCGGCGGTGTGAGGATGACCATGGCCCAGGCTGGAGCCGTAGCTGCAGCTGCGACGGGACTCCTCATCTTCTTCCTGTACTCCTCCATCCACAAGGTTGAGGAGGGGCACCTGGCTGTGTATTACAGGTACCGTCACCTGCCAGCGCCTTGATGGCTTCCGTAGCCTTCCCTCAGTTTCTCCCTCTCAGCTGGGATCCATCTCTGGCCACAGATCACCTTGGGAGGGGATCACTCTATCCCGTATTTCCCTCCAGGTTTTGTCCAGAGGTGGGCAGACCATGTTGTTTCTGCTCTCTTGCACCAGAAGCAATGTGGGCTGGAGTAGCCTGGCTCTCTGCAGAACCGTTCTGTTACGGGTTTTGGTCTCTCTGAATGCTCAGCTACTTTTCTTTCTTCTCCTTCCTCCCCTTTTCTGAGTTGTGATTTGGATTTCAAAGCTTAGAGGACCAAAGCTCTTGGTCCCTCCAGTCTTTTCATGTCTGTTGATCTCTCACTCTTACATCAAGGGCTGTTACCTCTATCCCAAGACTGTTGAAATGGGTCTCCTCCCTGGCTCTGGGCTGAGTGTCACCTGGGGCTTAAGAGCTGCCCTGAAAGTAGCATCTGTAGACCTATTGCCAGTCCACAACAGTGAGAGGTCACAGTCACTAAATGCCACCTCTTGGCTAGATTTTGCTTCGAATTTGAATAAAGGAACAGAGAAATTCAGCACCAACCTTTCTGCATTTGTTGCTGTTTCTGCTATGTTTGTGTCCTGTCTTTTCTACCCGTTGCACTCACTACCATGGGCCTATTTCCATTGCACTGCTCTTCCCTGTGATTACAAGTGTGTTGAGCAGCATGGGCCCTGGCGGGACGCTGCAGGAGACCTTACTGCACTATGAGGATCGATCACTTAGAGCTCTCCTCTGTCTCCTGTCTCTTAACCACAAGAGCCTGCGGGTTTTCATTGTGATGTGGGACTGTGTAGCGTCCCACAACACAGAACTGTGCCGAATGCCTTGTGGAAGTCCAAACTGGCAGTATCACATTAACTGCTGGATTTTTCCATGGTTACCAGTGAACTATTTAGAGAAGACAAATCTGTGTTCTTGAAGCTCTCTGCAGTGTTGCAATGATGGAAGAATTTAGCAATATCTACCTTCTCTAGAAATTAATTGTTCACAGGACTGAAGCAAGTGATTATTGAGCTGCAGCAGGCAAGTATCGTACGTAGTCAGCCCCTTTGTAGGGGGCAGATTTGGTGCCGGTGAGTCATGTAACTTGCACTACCACAGCTGTGGCCCCTCGCAGTTTGAATGTACTTACTCTCAAAGCCAGCACTCGCCATTTTCCAGTTGCTTGAGCCTTTTCCCCATTTTCCTCTGTCTCTGTAGGGGTGGCGCGTTGTTAACTAGTCCAAGTGGACCAGGCTACCACATCATGCTCCCGTTCATTACCACGTTCAAATCTGTGCAGGTTTGTATTTCCTCATCTTGGAAGGGAGTGAGTGGGAGCAGATCTTGGTAGGGATGTTGCTGGATGGGGGTGACTTGGGCAGCTGGTGGTTGGCGCGGGGGCTAGGTAATGCGGTAGTCAGAGCAGCAGTTGCTGGGAAGCCCTTGGTTCCTGCTGCCTTGGGTGCTAGACCCAGCTGTGCACTGGGACTTGTCCTTTTGGGGGAATCTCCACAACATGTGTGTGGGGTGCTTGGGACTGGAGATGTCTTGCTCTGGGAGGATGGTCTGTGTTTGTAGCCCTGATTGTTTCCCAAGAGAGCTGCAGGCCTTAGTGCCGCAGGAGCTGAGGGTAGTGAAATGAGCACAGCTGCCTTTCTATCTCTCAAAAGGCAAGTTGAAAAGAAGTCTGGCTTCTGCCTGCACCTGCAAAAGGAGGGAGGCAGAGGATGTGTTTTTGGCTCCATGTTCCTGTGTAATGGTTGTGAGAGTCTGGGCACAGTGTGATCTTCCTGGAGAATGGAGTGGTTTTGTGAGCACTGGTTGTCTTTTTATTTCAGACCACGTTGCAGACGGATGAAGTGAAAAATGTGCCTTGTGGGACAAGGTACGTTTTTCCTTTGTATTTCTTCTGGCAATGAGCAAATGCAGTCTATCGCGTAGTTGCAGTACTACAGCACAGAGGCTGAAAAGTAGAGGCACATAACCTAAAATTAGTCAAAAACATGCACACTCACATCACACTGAAATAATAGAGCAGGAGGTAGGGGAGGGAGCGCTCTTGCTTTTGCTGGAATTGATGTTCAGACGGTATTTGTATTTACAGTGATGTTCTCTTGATTTTTCTTTGGTTTTTTTTTCCCCCTCAGTTACTCTGCTAGCCTGTTGCTTGTGCTCTGGTCTGCTCTCTGCTTTGTGGTATTTGTAATCTGAATCTTGTGGCTGATAGAAGTGTTGATCCAGCAGTGGGCAAAAGTAAATGGCAAATGGGAATCCTTCTGCTGGGAGATGGTTTATTTCAAAAACAACTCAAGAAAACGAGTCTGCTGGAATAGTTTTGGAATTGATGTTTTACCTGATGTAAAGAGAGGGTGAAAAAGAATAAAGTAGAATCCTGTGCATGGGGGGCACCTGCCTGCTTCGTGATTAAGCTGATCCTTTTGTCAGCGCGTGTCTATGTAGTTTTAACAAGCAGAGCAGTAACAGAAGGAGAGGTGTAGTTGAGTTGGGTTGTAGGTCCTCTTGTGTTGGTTCATTCACAAGTTAAAGTGAACCAAATCTGTTTCTTCATGATAAAACCAAAACTGGTGATTCTCCTTGTCTTTTAGCTTCAGGGTACTCAACAATATTTCTGTTTAAAAAAACTCCAACAAACAAGTCAGCGTGACTTGAATGATGACACACAACGACCATGTTGAAATTAAGTTAAACGTTAGTGGCAACATTAATGAGGCAAGAGTTCATTTTGGTCTGGTTTAGCCCTTATTGAAATGAGTTCTTGGAATTATTCCTGTAGCAACTCGTCAGACATTGCTTGGGCTTAAATATTCACATGAAGTTCTTCTGGGCCCTAGCTGGTTTTAGGAGTGTCTGTAAATAGTGCTCATGTTCAGTGCTGCAGCCAGGGCTTTGTGGTCAGGCAAGGTCAAGTGAAAAGTGGTTGCAGGAAGGAGGAGTAAGAAGTTTCTGTTACGTTTCAGCGTTGCAGGGTTCAGTTGTGCAATACAGGCGGTTGTAAACAGGCTTTAAAACACAAAACAGCTGGTGAAGCAGTTAGTTAATAATTGAATACATATCAGACCAAAGGTCCCAGTAGCCCTGACCATTTTTAAGGTGTTACTGCAGAAGCCTTTAAATTTGCTGCATTTGGAATCAAAGTCTGCAGCTGCTCCATGCCAGAGCTTTGAATCCACATTTCAATAATGCAGCGTTAGCTTATAAATAACAGATGGATCAGATCTGAAATGTCACTGTCTCGATTCAAACTTTGTTACAAGAATAGACCCTAAACAGTTTAAATTTCTGTGGTGGTTTATCAAACCATCAGATTTTAAAGGGTGAGTCTCTGTCTGCCACCATACTCCCTGTTACCTGTATTCTCATCTACATTAGGAAGCTTCTGAATGTCTGTGTGGGTGTCCCATCCCAAATTTGTGCTGTAGCTGTCCCATTTATACTTGACAACATTAAATGAATACATTAAATACAGATTTTAAGATACTTTGGCACCGGATGACTGTTTTTCATAAAAAAGCTGTCTCCTCAGAGACAAAAACTGTTTCATTGTAGCGGGTAGAGTACGTGTCTGCTCCAAGCTGTGAATTGCCTCTGGTGTCTGACATTTTTGACTTTCCCAAACACGAAAATGTGCACAGTTCCTTGGAAAGTTCAGCAGCTTCCTCACAGCAGGTCAGGTGACCTCCAAAACCTGATGGCACATCAGTACAATAAACTAGGTTTAGAAGAGCAAAGTATTCCAAAGGACTGACTTTGAAGAATTAATCGAGAATGAATATACTCACGAGTATATTAATTGTGATATACATAATGGGCTGAAAATGGTACTGTGCAAATATTGCATGAGAGAATTAGGTAAGTAGCATTTTTCTTATAAACTTAATTGGAAAGAATCTTGCTAAATATTGTACAGGGTTTTACAGTGCTGGGACACTAAGCAGTAATACTGCTCAAGCGTTGGATGTTTATTTGCAAACGTGTGAGCGTT